GGGGGGGGACAGAACTGCCCACCGCACACCTGCCCACCCGTTTTGTCTATCGCCAAGCTCACCTCTCTCTGGTATTCTATTTTTATTTTCTTCTTCTTTGTTGCTCTACCGTATTATTTCCGCATTCCTCTTTACACACACACACACACACTCTTTCTCACCTTAGTTATGATCCTGTTTTCCTACTGCGGCGTGTTCTCTTTTTCTTCACATCCTTCTATTGGAAAGAAGAGAGGGTTCTTCTTTCCCCGTGGAGAAAGATGAAGCGAGGATCACGAGATAGAGCGGTAGTTAAAAGCGATCGGGAGGAGAGGCCAGCGAAGAGTTAGTAAATAGATAGGATAGCTACAGCGAGTAGACGTAACGGTGTCAGTTTCCATATATACATATACATATATATATATGATTGTGTTTGTGTGCGTGTGTGCGGTGGGTGTAGGTGGGCGCGTTGGGCTTCTTCCCCCCTCATAACTTATCGTATGCGTCCCATCCTCTTTTACCTGCCTTATTATAGCTTCCCGGGCGGACACCAGCACCACCACCCGCTTTCATCATGCCTCTTTCGTCTTCACATCAGGAGTGTGGCTTGGCCTTCTCACCTGGGAGTGGCTTGCGTGCCTTAATGAAGAAGGACGGGGTGAAGATGCCCAGCTCACCGCCCCGCACGAGGTTCACCGCAGCCTCCTCCAAAATTTCCGTCGCTTTGAACGTCCCCTTCGGCGCGAGACCGCCGAACTCGAGCAGGCGGCACATTTTGCTCGTCACCCAGCGGCCGAGCGGGGTCGACTTGAGGCCCATGAGGGACGTGTAGTTGCCCTGCAGCGGCGCGTACCACGGTATGTTCTTGAGTGGGCTCGTCTCGAAGCGCTCAATCATGTCGAAGTGGTCCTCCACAATGAAACCGGAGGCCTCCATCGCCCGCACCACCTGCTGCGTCGTCTCCAAGTCGGGGAGGCTGTCGCCAAGCTCGATGCCGTGGCGGACACGGCGGTGTTCCTCATTGTTCGGGTCGTACTTGTCCGTGATGCACCACTCGTAGGCGACGAAGTAGGCGCCTGGCTTGATGACGCGAAACACCTCACTATAGCACTTCACCTTGTCGGTGGCGTGGCAGGTAGCCTCAATCGCGTAGGCACCGTCGTACTCGTTGTCGGCAAAGCACATATTGCAGAAGTCCGTCTTGGTGTAGTTGATCTTGCTGTTCATGCCGAGCCGTGTGTCGTGGCGACGGCCGCGCGATATCTGGTATTCATTGTTGTTCACACCCATTACGCTGCAGCCGGCGAAGCGCAAAACGTTGCGCGCCGGGCCACCAACGCCGCAGCCGAGGTCGAGCACCGTGTCGGTTGGCTTGAAGGACGCCTGGTACGCGAGGAAGAACTCGTGGCGCGCGAGCGACTCGTAGAAGGACTCGCAAAGGTAACGTGGAGCGAAGTGGAAGTTCTGCCCCCATCCGTACTCGTAGAAGTCGGTCACGAGGTCGTAGTACTCGTTGACCATCTCCGTCGCCTCTTCCTTGCGACCCTTGACGGAGGCGTCCTTCCCCTCGTAGCGCGCGCGGAAACGGTCTGCGGTGGCGCTGATATCCTCATTCGTCTCGCCGGCCTTGCGGCTGCGCATGATATTGGTGGGAAGCACGTCGCGTGCACCTGCAGACATTGTGTGTGCTTGGTTTTGTTATTTGGGAGTTCGTATGTGTTTTTATTTTGCTTTCCTTTACGTTTGTGGAGAGTTGAGACTCGGTCCCGCTTGGCCACGTGGGCCGCGGCAACGGAGACGGGGGAGGAAGAGATGCGTAGCAGCAGCGGCAGGCTCGGCCACACACACATACACACACGGCAGATAGGACGCAGTTTGACATCAACGGCGGGAGTTGCAGAACACCTCCGCCCTGACCAACGCTGAAGAAGAAGAATGCAGTGGCAACAACAACAACACCAGACACACACACAAACACAAACACACACACACACACACACACACCGGCGTCACAGTTGTTCACCACCACCGCCAACAACAACACCCCTGCCCCCCAAAAGGAAACAAAAAAAAAAA